GAGCAGAGTGAGTGAATAAATATTTTAAAGTTTGCAAGCCACTTACACTCTTTGCTTGCTGCTGCTATAATTTTAAGGACCCTTTGAAAATGTGATGACCAGCTTTAGCTTACAGAGAATATATAAACAAGCTACAGGGCAAGAGCTGTATTGGGGAACCAATTTAAATATCAAGTATGAGAGCACTTCAGTATTTGAGATCAAAAATAGCAAATGAACTAATGGGAAGAACTAGCCCCAGGAGAGACGGGAACAGGGAATTTGCCCTGAGGAAGCGACGTGCCAGCATCTGTAAGGACTGCAGACAGAAGTAGTGAGGGTGAGCACGATGACTCACAAGCACTGTCAGCACAGCTGGAGAAGACAGCTCTGTCATCACTCTGAAACACGAACTGCACCGGAAATAGAGTGAAGGAATTCCTCCAACTGAGTGAAAAGCTTAAGTACCTAACTGCAAAGTACTTATCTTGCACTTTTGCTTAAATCCAGGATGAAATAACGGGGACTGAAGTGATCTGCTAGCCCAAACTAACTGACATTGGATGTAAAGCACCAGTTTTCAAAATAGTGGACAGCAAGCAATAAAGGACGATGATATCTGAAAGATGGAAAACAAGCAAGGGGAGCTCTGTGCTTGCCTCAGGTTCGGTATTTAGAAGTGGGGCGGAGGGCCACACACAGGGAAAGAGAGGTGAGGGGGACACTGGGAAAGTCACTGCACTGAGGACCTGCAGTGAGAGTCTGGGGAGACAGTGGTAGTGAGAGTGGGGAGGAGAGGGTACAAGAGAAGGAAGTGCTCCCTGGAGAAAGCCCACAAAGAGCTGCTTGAGGAACCAACAGAGAGCAGAGCAAAGCGCCAGAGTGAAATTGCCAGCTGATCCATGGGTAGAACTATCACAGCAGATGAAAAGCTATCCTGAGCAGGGAAGAGTGCCCTTTCTCCCCCATAAAGGGAAGAGAAGGACAAAAAGGAAGAATGAATAAAGCAAACACAAGAAAGGAGGAGAAAGACAGGCAGGCAACATAAGATCTGTGGGATAACTGCTAACAGCTTCGCACAGATGTATTGGAGACCATAAATAGTTTGTAGGTGAGGGGAAGGGAGAAGAAAAGTATTTTAATGGATACTTTAAAAGTGTTCTAAAACAATGAAAGTATAAAAAATTAAATAAAATTAGGTCCAAAAACTTAATGAAGGCTGGGGATGTAGCTCAGCAGCACAGTGCCTGCCCGGCAAGCGTGAGGTCTTGAGTTCAATTCTGGTGCAAAAAAAAAAAACTTACTAAACCTTAAGAAATACACAAGAAACTATTCATAGGCATATCATGATAATAAATGCATAAAACAAACCATGTAGAAGAGATAGCATGTGTAGAGAATCAATGATAAAAATGAAAAAATATTTATCATTGAAAATAATACTAGTTGAAAAGTTATAGACTATCTTGAAGGCACAGAAAGAAAAATCTGTCACCTCATCTTTCTTTCTTTCTTTTTTTTTTTTTTTTTTTTTTTTTTTTTTTTTGTCTTTTTGAGACAGCGTCTCACTATGTAGTTCAGGCTGGCCTTAAACTCATTTATGTAGCCCAGGCTGGCCTCGAACTTGCAATGATCCTCCTGCCTCAGCCTCTGGAGTGCTGGGATTACAGGCGTGCGCCACCACACAGAGCTACCTCATCTTTCCATACCCAGTGAAAAGACTTTTTACAAAAGAAGAAGAAATACTATCTTCAGACATACACAAACAGAAAGAAGTCACCACAAACAAACCTTCCATACAGGAAATGTAGAAGAAAGCCCTTTAGGAAAAATGGAAATGTCATATGATGAAAAAGTAGCTGTAGAAACCAGGAAATAACTATACAGGCAAACACACAATATTTTTGTTATTTAAATGTCTTTAAAAATGGTTCACTTCTTAAACTGATAAAAGGTATCCATGCAAAATTTATAGTTTACACCATACTTAGTGTGCAATAATGACAGATACCTTCCGATGTAAAAAAACAACCCAATGTAACATAAAAGTTACTAGAACAATGAAAGGAATTTTTCAAGGTTTCAGGACATAAGCTTAATATAAAAATCTACTGAATTTCTATATACTAGCGATAAATATCTGTAAATCAAAATCACAAATGAGGTCTTTGCAGCTATTGCTGAGCTATGGGGATATCCGGGGACAATTCTAAGACTTGTTTCAAGCAAGCCCTGCCAAAAGCACGAGGTGAGGCGGGAACTCTCCTCACTAAGTTTGGCACTCAGAGCACACAGTCAGTCTGAGTGCCAGGAAGCCAGGAGAAATACATGCCCTGGGACTGGATGGGGGAACCCTCTCCCTAGTCCCTGAGGTGTTGTACTCCGAAACAAGGATGACTGGTGCAGTCTACAATGCATCCAGCAAGGAGTGGTCTGCACCTGCCTGTGGTGAAGAGCTGCACATTGCACCTTAGGGTCAGGGGTACCATCTCACTGTGCATGGCCCTTGGGCCACAAGAAATGGGCCACGCTGACTTCTGAGGAGAAAGGGATTTAAAATAAACAAACAAATAAAAAAATCAAAGAAAATTCAAAAGAAATAGGAAAAAAGGAAAAGAACGCTAAAATCAGCTGTTCTAAAGGAGCAGCTCCAAAGGGCATGCTTCTCCACAACACTTACCAGTAATCCCAGCACTCTGGGAGGTTGGGGCAAGAGGATCAGGAGTTTGAGCTCATCGTAGGCAATTTAGGAAATTAGTGACTTAGCAAGACCCTGTCTCAAAATACAAGATAAAAATGTACCTACTGGATGGAGGGGAGGGGAGAAAAAGAGCACAGAAAAGGAATTAAGATGTGCTACATACTTAAAACTCCACACAAGGAATGTAAACATTGATTTCCTCAAAATAGTCCCTCTTCTTCCTTGTAACCAGCTGCATATCCTGTTACAGCCTCTGGAAGCTACAGATCTGCTTTCCATCTTTATATTTTCTCTCTTCCAGAACAAATGGTATCAGTGTAAAAATAAATAAATAAAAAGGGCTGAATTCAAGCGCCAGTACAAACAAACCAATAAACAGAGACTGAGCCGGTGTGGCTGAGGAGAAGGCTGTGAGCTAGAGATAGAGATGAAGGAAATCATTGCCCCAGAAAGGCAAATGAATCCTCCCCCCGCCCCCCGCAGTCTTAGGTCATATGATAAAAAGAGATTTATTGTCCTAAAAAATATTACAAGTGGGAGAGGCATTAATAATAACTTCAAAAGTATGAAGTATATAATGATAATCTAGCAGTTTGTAAATCACTTGTACAGAAGTATAAAACATTGCTTGCAGGAATGAAAGAATTGCTAAATATAAGGGAAGATACTTTATGTGTCAAACAAATGAGTATTTTTAAGATTTTACTTCCCCTAAATATATCTATAGAATCAAGGCAGTTATAATCAATTTTGCAGAAATTTTGTAGAAATTGATGGGCCAATTAAAAATTAATATGGAAATACAAGGACATAAATCAGGTCAAACAACTTTGAAAAAGAAAAATAAAATTGGAGGACTTTTCCTTACATGACTTCAAGATATATTTTAAAGTGATGTATAGTATTCAAAAGGGTGTGTTGATAGTATCCTGAGAAAAGTCTGTGAAACAGAAAAGAGAGTTTTAAAATAAAACCATACCTACACAGACAACTGCTTGGTGGAAAAACTGCCAATGCAATGCAATAAGGGAAGATGTATATAGAAAGACAGCTGGGATAGTTGCACTGCTGGTGTCTGGTGGTTTATTGAAAGGAACAGTTAATGCCTAAATTTTTTTGACCTACTTTGCGTGCTTATATCTGGTAATCTGAATAGCTAATTTGAAGACAACAATATGCAATATAACAACCATTAGTGAATTCCTGTCATCTAGTTTAATGAAGCGCTGAATCATTTCCAACTTTCTTTATTATACTTTATTGTCTTTAATGGTATGATCAATCTTGCATTCTTACAACTGGTCATTGAGCAATTTAGCTGAAGATAACAATGTGTAATATAATAACCACTGTTAATTCCTACCATTTTGTTTTGAAGCTCTGTATCATTTTTATTGATTTAGCTTTGCTTTGTTTTTGTTATGCTGTTGTTATTTTGGTTTTTTTTTTTTATTCTCTTTAAAGTAAAAAAGATAGCTGGGCATGGTGGCACATGCCTGTAATCCCAGCACTTGGGAGGCTGAGGCAGGAGGATCATTGTGAGTTCGAGACCAACCTGGGCTACAAAGTGAGCTCACAGCCAGCTTGAACTGCATAGTGAGACCTTGTCTCAAAAAGACAAAAAATAAAATAAAATAAAAGAGTGTTCTTTCAAAAACAAAGTCATTAAAATAACTGGTTATTCATATGCAAAACAAACAAAAAGAACTTCAAAACATAACTTGCAAATGAATCCTAAGCCATAGGCCTCAATGTAATCTGAAACTATAAAATATGGAAAGAATAGGAAACATTTTGTGACCTTGATTTAGGCAATAAATTCCACAATGAGTTCCTAACCACAGAAATTGTACTTTATTGAAGTTAAAGATTTTTGCTTTTGTAAGTAAACTATTCAAAGAATGAAAAGACAAAGCATAGACTTGTACAAAATTCTCATCACATATCAGATAAAGGGGCTTTATCTCAAATATACAGAGCATTCCAAACTAAAAAAATAAGGAAACAAAATGGTTTAAACCAGTAAAGTTTCCAAAAACTTGTATAATTACAGTACAAATTCATAAACTCTTAGTTCACAAACACTTTTGTCTGCGAACAATTTAGTTCACAAACGGAAGCGTTTGGCAAGATTTTTTCTTGTTGGCAAACTCTGCATCAGGTGATGAACGTGACCATGGCCATCTTTCCCGCACAAACACAAATATGGCCAACTTTTCCAGAGTTGTGGAACGAATTAAGTTCATGAACCGAGGCATCACTGTATTTATCCAAGAAGACATAAAGATGGTAAATAATATACGCAAACAACTTACACATGAAAGTTCATAGCAGCTTTATTTGTAATTATTCAAAAGCTAAAACAATCCAAATTTCACTAACAGATAAACATAACAAATAAATTGTAGTATGCCCCTAAAGGGACAATCAACATTAAACAAAGAAACAAACAAAAAAATAAAGAATAAATAATTGATACAAGCAACGAGATGGAGATATATGAAACCAAACATAGTTACACAAGTTGAAAGAAGTCAGACTGAAAGGGCATGTGGTATGATTCTGTTCATATGAAGCCTTCCAGGATGTAAGCTGAAAGGTGATTGGTGGTAGTCTGGGGAGGAAATGTTGGGTAGGGCAAGATGAATCATTTATGGTTGTTGACATGCTCAGCTAAGGGAATGTGTTTACATGTTAACATGTGGGAAGTGCTTCAAATTGTACACTTTAGATATACTCAGGTTGGTGTATGTCAAACAGCAACTGGTAGCAAAAGAAAACATCCCTTGCCTTTGTAGGGATAATACAGAATACATATATATATATATATGATTATATGATATATATATATGATTTACTACTGTGTTATATGCAGCAAAAAAGAAAATTTTCTTTTAAAATAGAAAGGTCATGAAATAGATGGAAAGAGAATAGGAATATTTATATACCTGCTCAGTTTGTTCTTAAACTAGGTGTCTATATTTGGTCTTGTATATTTGTGAATCATAGCATAATATGATATAGTTGCGGAAAGTATCTACAAATAGTTTGTACTTTAGGGGAAAAATTCTATTTTTGCTTCTGTGACACACATTTTGTAATTCTCTCAAACATGGTATTAGGCCGCTATTTAGCAAAGAAAAGATGAAAAAAATAATAACAGTTTGAGAGATTAATAATGAGTTGTGGTTTTGTCCACAGAAAAGTCCATGAAATTGTTCATCATTTCCTGGGCCACCACAACCATTGTAAAATAGGTGGGATGTGTGTCAGTGGTGGAGATTGGAGACGGACCACAATTAAAAAGCCAACAAGTGATGCCTTTTAAGAGAACATGAGATTCTTGATTATAGAGCAGTCTTTTCTTCGTTCTATTTCTTCGAGCACCTGATTCCAGGGCGCATTTCCCCTTTTTTGGCTTCCTCTTGCAGCTGGGCAAGTTGTTCTGTCCACTCTGTAGTTGTAGAAGTGAACACTGAGGTAGAAAAGCCGGAGTGTGATAGCTTCCCAAGCTTGGGGAGGAGTCAATTTTTAAAATAGAAAAGGCCTGAAGGTTGGCATGGAGGCTTGGGACAGACTGCTTGAAAAACACATGGGTGGATAAATAGAATCACAACTTTTGATGTGAAGGTGTCACGCAGCTGGGGGCCCGGTCTCGGTCTCCAACAAGCCCCATTTGGGGATCTGCTGAGGAGTTCCGAAGCAGGCTCGTAACTGTCAGTTCTCAAAGCTGCTGTGCTTTGCTTAAAAGGTAAAAAATAGCTCACAGTCCAGGAAAAATTCAAAGACCTTCCTCTTTTCTTCCAGCATCTTCAAATTTATTCACAATAGATATGCTGCCTTCTGGCATATATGGGCTGCAACTAAAATGCAGTTGTCAGCAAATATATCTCCCCATTGTATATATGCACAAGTCCCTGAAGGGTACATATGAGCAAAAGCACCTCGAAGTTTAAACCTACAGGTGGGGAAGAAAGAAAAAGTTAAATTTCCCGTCACATTAGTGGTCCACCTAATGTCAGAAACTTAGCCGTGTCTTAAACCTTAGATCAGAAATGAAGATGGAAAGGAAAGCCCCAGAGAAGGTCTGAAAAAGCCTGTTGGCAAATCCCTCTGGGGGAGAGGCGAGGGAGACCAGTATAAATTCTACAAGCTTCATTCTTGCAAGAACAGGACACCAGCAGAATGTGGTAGTGAATTCAAAGCACATTCAGCAAGGAACAGAAAACTTACAGTGGGCGTCATAAAGACACTTACAAGTGCGGCCTCAAAGGAGACCCATCCTCCCACATCCAAGAATAGTTGGGCATCCTCAGAGTCAGTCCCATCCAGAAGGGGAGGTTAGAATGGGAGATCATTTGATGGATGAAATTCTGTGGAGAGTAATAGGTCTGAGTTGATGGAATTAATGTACAGCTTTAGAATCTGAAGGTCAGGTAGCATTAAATTTATAAGACTAAAAACCAAAAGGATCTTTGAAAGCCCCCGTGGGATTGCATGGAAAGGTTTACTGAAGCTTAGAATATTATGTAGCCTGTCAATCCAATGTCATACATGTGACCAGGCCAGGTTAAAAAAAAACAAGTATTTTTCACTCTTAAGTGCTCCTCCGCCCAGGACTTAATTCAGATTTATTTTACCATCAACCATACCCCACCCCACCCCAGTCATCCATAAATACCAGATCATTCATGTTCTTAATTTTCAGCAACTGGGCACCCAAAGCTGAGCAGTTCTTTCTGCTTGATTCCCAATTAAAGAGTCCAGAGGAAAATAAGTAGCAGCTTTCTCTGTGCCAGATCCAGTCCTGGGGACAAGGACCTAGGAAAAGCAGTAAATCCAATCAGTGAGTTATGTGGGAGCAGAAATACTTCCACAGTCCTACAGCCAACTTCCCCTTCAGCCATCCTTTAGCATACCATTTCGTCTCAGTGAAATGATCTCACTCTACACAGTCTCAGAATCTTTACTTCTCCTTTTTTTGAAGAAAAAGAGAAAAAAGTGATTTTAGTAAACTAAATTTACTTCTCAGTTAGTGTTTTTACTTCCTCTGCTAAAAAAGTAGAAGTTGGGGTGTAATTTTAAAACTTGCTTTATTTTTTAAGTTATGTATCAAAGAATGGAAGTGATATATATATATATACACACACACACACACACACACACACACACACACACACACACACATAGTTTTTTTTTTGGAGACAGGGACTTGCTTCATAGTTCAGGCTAGCTTTGAAAAATCATAGTGATCCTCCTGCCATAGCATCCCAAGAGCTTGGATTATAGATGTGTGCCACTATGTCCAGCTAAAAATGGCTGTTTAATAGCCATTTGGTAATTAAAAGTAATGTTTATTTTTAAAGTTTTTGTCTTTTTGAGACAGGTCTCACTATGCAGTGCAGGCTGGCCTTGAGCTCATTTTGTAGCCCAAGCTGGTCTCGAACTCACAAAGACTCTCCTGCCTCAGCCTCCCAAGTGCTGGGATTACGGTGTGTGCCACCATGCTTGGCTTTGTTTATGTATTTTAAAATTTCATGTACTTGAATAGTGGGTTTGGACCTAAGGAGTGTGCCTTCTGTTTTTAGGCAAGTGCTGACCAACACAATAGACACATGAAATTTCTGACTTTGAAATTTAAGGTAAAAAAATATAAAATTTCACATTAATAAATTTTATAATGGTTAGTATTGAATTAATATTTCCAACATTTTGGGTTAACTAAAATATGTTACTAAAATCTGCTTTTTCTACCTTTTCTTTTTTAAAAAGTGTGATTATGACAAAATTTAAGGTTAAATAGTGGTAAACACTGTATTTCTTTAGGACAAATTTGTTCTACAGAAACTACTGTATTGGTATGAAATTAACATCCCAGTTGCAATAAAATTTCAGGAAATACAGAGATTCTCAGCAAAAAAAAATTTCCCAGGGAGTCCAACAAATCCAACTGAAGATTTAGGCAAAGACGATGTGTCTACGTGCATGTCAGTGTTCCAACAAGCCCAAATGATCACCAGCACTGTCATCCACACCGTCATGTTCTCTATGTGTTAGTAACGCTTGGAATCTCCTTAAGGAGAAGCACAGACCTTTAGTCACCATGACCAAAAGGTGAAAAAAATTAAAATTTTTTTTGATTTTTCATCATGACAAATCATCACATAATTTTATTTCTTTATTTATTTGGTCTTTTTGAGACAAGTTCTTGCTGTGCAGTTCAGGCTGGCCTGGAGCTCACTTTGTAGCCCAGGCTGGTCTTGAACTCACGAAGATCCTCCTGCCTCAACCTCCCAAGTGCTGGGATTACAGGCGTGCGCCACCGTGCCCAGCTCACATGATTTTATGAGTAGACTTGACCAGGAAGGATAAAATAAGAAAGGAATAAAATAAATGATAGCAGTGAATAAGAAAGTTTACACAAAAGGCCAGTTGAAAGGAATAAATGAGACATTCTTCTTAATTTCCTCTGCCTCATATGCAAAGATAAAACAATCTATTTTAATACTAAATAAATAGCCTAGGCAGATTTTCCAACCTATGACAAAACAAAAAAGACATCTCAAATCATGGTATGTATATATACCATGTATAATATGTATACTATATTATATATAGATATATATTATATGAGATATATATGTATATACAGTACATTTCTATAATTTAACAAATATTATTTATCATGTGCCACAGACTGTTGGAAGTTCTTTACATATAAGAACTTCTTTAACACTCATAACAACCCCATGTCTTCATTTGACAGAGGGAAAATGGGAATATGAACCTACACTATCTAATTTTTGGAGGCTGTGTGTTTAACCACTATAACACACTACATCTCAAACTTTGAAGTTTAAGCCATTTGAGAAAATATTTCTGTGCCCCTCAAAACATTCTGGTGTAGAATCTTAGGGTCAATCTGGAATCTGCCATTTTTAACATGGTATTTCACGCACCTAAGACTAAGAACCAATACTGATACCAATTGTAAAATATTACTGTGATGCCTCTACCTCTTACTAGTTTGATGACCTCAAGCAAACTTGTAGTAACTCCTCAGAGTCTTTCCCTCCTAATATGCACTGAGGACCACAGGATTGTTAGTAAAAAAGATAGAACTTGCTTCAAATTTAAGAAAACGGAAGTCTTTTTCCATGTAGTATTTTAGTATCTTTTTCTTTTTTAGAATCCTCTCAAAGAGTCTTGATAACAACAGAATCTTATTTGGTATCTCTGTCATTGGCCTTTGGCACTGTCGAGGAATGAATTGTGTTACTTGGCATATCTACCAACAATGGATGTATCATCTCCTCTGCTTGATTACTTACAGATGCCTGACATTTCAGTAAATGGCTCCAATTGGTCTTCATGCAGATTTAATCCCTCAGTTTCATCAGTTTATAACTGATAAAACACTTTTTTTACAGTCCTGTTGTGAATAAACCCTTGGTTGGTACGTGGTTCTATCTGCTTATGCAAACATGCCTGCCCTTGGTATATATGCCTCCTTCCCTTAAGCCCTCCTTGAGGTACTACAATCATTTATCTCACTGAAAGCTCCCTCCCTAAAAAGATTAAATATATGTTTGACATTTGTTAAAGATCAACCTGTCTAAAAATTGTTGCTTATTTTGGATTTAATTCCTCTGTAAATACTGAAAGGATTTATAAACAATAAAACTTTATACAAAACCACTATTTTTCATTTACCTCAATCTCAGTTTTTGTCTCTAGAATAAAGATGGGTGTCCATGACCTATTATGTAATCTTTACGCTAAGAAGTTACATATTTGAAATTAAGTGGACTGTACAAGCACGAAGCTGGAGAAACCTGTTTATTAGTGGCACTTAGACACCAATTTAGAAAATAGGTACTCATTCACACCCTCCATAGGAAGAGATGGATCCATCTCACACCTTGGAGCTCTGCGCGTGGTGGAAACCAAACACATGATTTACTTACACTGTAAAAGAGTAATTTAATCATACCAGAATTTACCATAATTTTATCGATGCTATTTTTGTCTGACTCCTAGATTCTAAATCCTTTTAGACAGATGAGATTAACTCAATTCTTAGAATAACCCACTTCTTGGACTTCTCATATGCTTGTCTAACCTGAGTGTATCTACTTAATCATTCCAAGCAGCCTCCCTCCATTGATTCTAGGTTGATGTAGTATACTTCCTAAAACACTGTCGAGAATGAAGCTGATGCTGAAGTAGAGGTAAAGAGTCATAGGAAAAGACCCTTTATAAAGAGAAATCTGCTTGAGACACAGTAGAATGGGAAGATGTAATTATCTATGGCCTGAAATGAGGACGGGAAGATTCTTCCAGATAAATCTAAAAGCTAGAATTTTAAAGAGAAAGAAGATGCTCTTCTTTTAAAGAAGGAAACATGAAATCTACCAAATATTGTGGTTAACTAAATAAGATGTCCCCAGAGTTAACATAGGATAGGGTGGAGATGACAAATTAGAGAACCTCTGGCCACAGAAAATTATGAATGGATAATGATACATATATCAGTATGACAATTTTATGCTTACAGATATATACAAAAAATATTTAAGACAGGACAGGTAATCTGCTCTTACCTCTCGTTCTTCAATCCCCCTCCCCCAGTACCTGAATAGTTTTCCTTTCTTGACAGAGCTTCTTGGAGATCCAAGTTCTGCTGCAGAAGTTCCTCTTTCTCTTTGTATCCCTCATCCAGCTTCTGGTAAAGGGTATCTATTATTTCTCTGAGTTCCTTCTGGGAATTCTGAGAATCTTTTTTTGCCTGCTGATAGTCTAAGAGCTGTCCTTCCAGGATATTTTCCTGGTGAGTAACATTTGCTTGATATTGCTCTAGGAAGTCAGATATCTGGAATACTAAATCATAGTTGAATTACAATTCCATTTTCAATCTCCATTATAAAACCCCTCTACTAAATTTTGAGGAAGTTAAAACACAGAATCAAATAATCTACTTTGACCACAGAGAAGTATTTACAGATTAAAAATAGAAATATTTTAGGAAATTGAACAGTAAGTGAAAAGCAAATAGCACTTCAAAAGCTGATGGAAATGATCTGCATTCACTAAGAAATTCTTACTTTGGAAATTATTTAATAGTCCTGCAGTATATTTTTAAAAGGAAAAAGCAATAACAAAATAACAATGCAGACAAAAACAAAACAACACAAAAATAATAAAAAAAAAATACAGGATTTCAAAACAAGATGACAGAAATTAACAGTGGTTGTTATAGTATATATTGTTATCTTCAGTGAAGTTGTTCAGATTACCACACATAAAAATGCAAGGTTGACCAATCAATTTTACATGCCTGTGGTACATTTTAATGTCAAGAATTGTGCAGATACTTGTGATAAAAACATTGACCTATATTTTACTTTTTGAGAGTTACACACAAAATAAAAGTAATGACAAGGTAAGTAATATCAGTGAAATAAATAAAATACAGATAATTTAAAATAGTCCATGCCTTGCTAGGCTCAGTATTAGTAGAAATTCGCTCACTGATTAGTTCTATTTGTCTTAATTCCTCTGCTGTATCTCCTTCTATTCTGTCTACCCTTCCAGACTTCCCAACTTTATTGAGGAACTGTGACATTTTCCTTTTCTTGAATGGCCACCAAAAAAAATATTTTAAATTACTGCATCACAACACACTCAAACTTTTTCTTTTGTAATTTTTAATTTTAGCCATAGTATACTTTATGAAGCCTGGAGATCAAACTGAACTTGTGCAATCCAGCAACAATGAATGCTGTGGGCAGGAGAACTTAGTTCTGGAATCTTTAATGTGCACCACAAAGCAGATGCCTTAGCTTGAAGGCCAGAGCAGGGAGTTTTGCAAAGTCATCACAGCCTCGAAGGAAGCCTCTTTGAGTCCTGGCCACTGTGTTGAAGACCCTTTCCCCAGTCATAAAGAGAGGCCCACAGTGTTGATGGACTGAAAGTAACAATGTGCTATGAACTGAGCAATTGAGAGCAAACAGTACTTTAAAGGCCTTATGAATGGCGACCTGGGATCTGGCTAGCTAAAATAACTCAGATCTATAGCCTAAGTACGCAGGGGGATCAGATGGATGGTGGACGCCTTTTCTTTCAGTCCTGGTTACTCTGATCCTTACTTTTCACTTCTTTTCCTCTCAGTGAGCCTTCTTTCCTAAACGGTCATGTTACAAGTTTAAAGTACAATTTGTTTTAAGTGTTTTACTTACTGAGGTTGTGTTTGCGGATGTTAACGTTAAAATGGTATTTAATCATCTCTATCAGAATGCAAGAAGAGCTAAATGATTTTTATTTTTTAACTTTTGTGTTGCTCAGATGATCTTGTGGATTTTTTTTCTTTCAGTACTGAGGCTTGAATCTAGGGCCTTCCCCTGAGCTCCATCCCCAGTCTTTTAATTTTTCTTTCTTTTTAATTTTGAAGCAGAGTCTCATTAAGTCACCAAATTGCCCAGATTGGGCTTGAATTCACAATCCTTCTGCCTCAGCCTTCAGAATGCTGGGATTATAGGTGCACAACACCAAACCCAGCTACTTCAAATTATTTTATTTCCCATCATTCTAATGTTTAAACATGATCTCTATCTGAAGTTATGAAAACAAAATAATAAACATAAAACCTCTGCCATGTATACAATCTCTGTCCCATGCCTCTACCCATTTGAAGGACGAACAGAACATTCTCATCTTCTTCCCACTCACTCTGAAAACATAGCCTAAAAGGAATCTAGATTAAGGCTGTTTCACAGTTATTGAAAACAAACTTATGCACTATGTTTATAAACCCTCACTCCCAGTGCCTGTTTTTCTATTTCACTTACTTTGCTTCTTCAGCATTATAACAGTCACCAATAAGCCCAGGCAAAGGATGCCCAGTGTCATGGCAGCAGGGCACCAGCACGGAGAAGAAAGAAAACGGAGACCTAGAGGGTGGAGGATAGAATCAGAAAGGCCAAAAAGATGGGACTAGGCAGTCAAACCATTCTTTGGATCCTGTCTGTCCTTGATGTTCCATATTCCTGACCTCTCATCCTCCCAGCATAACTCATTGTGCACACTTATGGAGGAACACATGGACAGTTGAAGAATTTAACTAATTTGGTCATGGGTCATACAACTGGTAAATTTCAGAGCTAAGATTCAGTATCTAATATCGGACTCTAAATATTCTATTCTAAAACTTATTCATTGTCCACCCTCTATAATGACTCTTTAAGAAACTCTCAAGCTGGGAGTGGTGCACACCTGTAATCCCAGCACTTGGAAGGCTGAGGCAGGAGGATCTTCGTGAGTTCATGACCAGCCTGGGCTACAAAGTGAGCTCAAGGCCAGCCTGAACTGCATAGCCAGACCCTGCCTCAAAAAGACCAAAAGGAAAGAAAGAAACTCTCAGTCTAAGTTGGTTGGGTCAACTGCACAGGACCAAGAACCTCATGGTTGTAATACAGATCATGCGTGCACGTGAATGCACACACATACACATGCATGTTTTATAAGTAACATGATATAAATGAAGTTCAGTGTCAAGCAAATAAGCTTTAGCCAATTAGTTGATATTTCCTCAAAGAATTCTCTACATAATTTTATGTGATTTAATTTTCATTCCACTGTAATTACATCTTGAAACTGGAGTCATTGACCAAAATAAAAGGGGAATGAAAACTTAGTATTAATTTGGCTTATATTCACAGTATGCCTTATAATCATGGCCACTACAGGCCACAGAAAAATTTACCATTTTAATAAAACAAGTCATGTGGCTTAAAGGTGTACATATATTCAATTACAAGTTCCAGATATTGCTTTGGTAATAAGAAAACATCCCGTACCATTTATTAGGTTTTCCTCTCTCCTGAGATAAAGCACTGGTAATGTTTGCCTCTGTATGTAAAGCAGGAAACTGAAAAGTTCAGTGACTTGTTGAAGACTGTAGCATAAAAGAAGACCACACCGGATCTTAAGACCAAAACACAGGTCATTAGTCAACCATCTACAAGCTACATTGCTGGGAACATTACATCACAAAATTTCCTGTGTCATATTTAATGATCCAAGTCAAACAATGCTCACATGTATTCATGGAGTCCTCTTGCGTCAAAACCATTGTGCTAGATTCACAAGTGATAAAAAGAAAATAGAAATTTTGACAAGGAGGAACATAATTCATTTCCTGATTCAATAGTTATGGTCTCCTCCCACATACAGTGCAAGTGAACAGAAAAGTCGCAAGAAATTTCATCTCTTGCAAAGAATTGCCTCATTTTATCAAGTATCTGTGAGTACATCTTTCCTATCTTTTGCAGTAGGTAAAATAGCTAATTTTATACTTAGGTTATTAACTACATGAATGATGAATGAATGAGTGAGTGAATAGATGAATGAAAACATGGCCATTGTTAACTTGTAAGTCTACCAATAAATGCTGGCAGCGTTTTCATATCAAGTTAGTTCACTAGCTCAAATGTTAAATGAGTCCATACTTGCCCTTATTCTATCATGTAAAGAAATTTCTATTTTGTTTATGAAAACTTGATTTGAAATTTCTTTATCCAAATTTCTGAAAATGCTTTTCTGCCTTCCCCTTCTTGTGTTTTGTTCCCTTTCTCAGAATAAATATAAAATAAAAGCCAATTTATCTAGGCTTCTTATGGAATTGGACTTATGAATCAATGTATACCTAAGGAGTTTAGTTTACTGCATGTGTCAAATAGAAATCATAATTTTCCAAAGCAATATTATATCATCAGATATAATTTACACTAAACTATACTGAATATCACTTAAGTAGCTTTAGATAATGAATACAATATTACAAGTTATCACTCCATACACTAGTGAATTCGTTTCTTGAATCCTGCTCATGGATGGGATACTGGATTCTGGAAGCTTGTAGTATAATCCTAGTTCTGCCACTTACTAACTCTGGATGATTTTGTTAATGCTCTAGATCTCAAGTTAACCTTTTGGAAAAAGGAGTAATAAAACATCAGTTTCAAAGTGTCATCGTGAAGATCGAAATCATGCATTTAAAGTGAGTAGAAGAAAACTGCTTGTAGGAAACAGGATAAGTTAGCTATCATTATCGTCCCCATCATATCTTAATTGCTTTTATTTAAGTAAGTGGTATTAATTCTCTTACATTTTGTGATTTTGGGGTACTTTAGTTTTCTAATCTAATCTTCAGTAAATTTACATTTTTGAGCTGCCACTGAAATTCTGTCCTTGTACAGTCACCCACCCTCGCTCCTCGGTACCTTTAACTTTTTTTCCAAATGACTTCTGATCTGGCTGGTCCTTCATAGACTTCATCTTGAGATCATCAAAAATCGTTTCCAAATTCATGCTAGGAATGAGATAGTAAAGCAGTCGAGAACTGCAGCAAACTGAAAATATGTGAGCTTCTGCTAGAGTGCTTAAATAGCTACTGTTATCTAAGAGAATGACTCAATCATTGCCAGGAGGAAGGGGAGGCTTTGCTTCATACTGGGAAGTTGACTGACGAAAACTCTTGGGGTGTGTCTATTTCAGGTGGGGAGTGATTCTGATGCTGTTTCATGATATTTCAAAAAGTGGCTTTTTTGAAAGGGAAAGTTATATTTTCCATGAGAAAGGAAATGCATTATGCCACTCACCAGGTATGGAAAGTTAGGTGCAAGAGAGTAAGTTACATTCAAATCATGCAAGAGCATTCATTAGGACCAGATTGTTTCATTTCAACATTCACATTTGTTTGTTTGCTAATTTTATCATGGTACATTTTCTCCACATGGTGTCTTTCAGAAATCACACATTTTCTTTTTTAATATTCATTGTTTTAAATGACAATAGACAGGAATTTGAGGTGAATTCCATAAGATTCTTAAGTGTTGGGTAATTTTAGCACTCAAAGAAATGTACTGTCTTATACAATGACAGTGCCACACAGCTGCAGAGGGCCATTGGAACTGGACAACTAATTCAATCTTTCCCCTGGTCTATTGTCTTGGGGAATTATTTAATGCCTAATCTATACTTTTGTTTATATAAATTTGGGATAATATGAGTATATATGACAAGCACTGTACTTGGAATATAATGAACTCGATAAATAATAGTCACAACTATTATTAGTAGTAATATTCAGCACAGTTAAATAACCCAGAAAAGACTACCTTTTGGGCTAACCCATCATTGACTGGAGTCACAAAGACTCCTCATAGAATCCTCATAAGTGTATCTATATATACACACAGATAAAATCTTCACCTATTTTTTACCTCACAATCTTATGGCCAGAAAATAAATAATTACTGAAGTTACAGGTACTTTTGAAAAAAAATTTTATCAACAAAAGATATTTTCTGAAGTATTTATGTGAAAAATTATATGATATCTGAAATCTGCTTTAAACCACTATAGGAAAAATAAAAAAGAAAAGCTACATAAAGGAAGATTAGAAAATCAATAAATACATAAAGTTTCTAGGTAGTTAATTAGGAAAAATCACCAATGTTCAGAGTCTAATTAGGATTGCATTTCCTTTCTCCACCTTCAGTTTTCTGAATTCTTTTTTTCTGTGCAAAATATCCAGAACCAAAGTGAAAACACTTTATCTCCCATTTAACATTTTACTCTACAATACAGTTCACCAAAATTCACCATGTAGCAAGTACATCCTTGCCAAATCAGCTTCTGAGAAGACTACATAAGTACATGTACAAACTCCCCATGATAAATGTAATCATTGTGCACTGGAAACATGCACCAAAAAATACATTGATCAAGAAAAAAAAGACCATGTTATCTTTATCATGCAAGCCCCTTCCTAGGTCCCTTGGCTGTGAGTGCCAGGAAATCACTTCTGGGATCAGACACATTTCTTCAATTACCATGTCAGTCACACAAGTGGAATCTCAGGAAATTTCTCATAATAATGAATTAATAAATACCAGAATAGCATCACAATGAAAATGACAATTTGTGATTCCCACAATGACTTAATTATTTTGGATCCCTTCAAACGGTTGTAATTTTAACCATTTCAGATATACTGATCTGTATGGTCTTAAATACACTTACAATGTTTGGTAGCCATCACCACAGTCCACTTCTTGAACATTTTTATCTTCTCCAGCTGCAATTCAACATTAAACAGCAATTCTAGTGATGGTGAATTCTATTTATTGTCTTGCATGGGCCATGGGGTGCCCAAGATGGAGAGTTTGGGTATGAGGTTTACATATGCATCATTACAATAAAATAGACTTCAATCCGTAAGGTGGGTGGGCCTCATTCAAAGGATGAAATCTTGAAGAACAAAAAAACTAACCTCCCTAGTAAGAAAAAATTATCCAGCAGATGCCCTTGGGCTGAAAAAACACACAACTAACTCTTCTGGAAATTCCCCTTATCAACTGGAATTGTAACATTCAATCTCCTGGACTGTCATTCAGCTGGCATGCACTGAAGATTTGGACTTGCTGGGTCCTATAGTCATCAATTTCTTTATATATGTACATATTTTATTCTGCTTTTCTAGAGAACTTTGATTACAACTCCCCACTTTTTACACCTCTCCGGTAAGCCAACATGTTCATTTCTAACTCTTCCATATCTCTCCATTGGGACTTTAGAAGGAAGCACATACTGACCCCACAGCTCCAAAGAAATGTATCTTGCCTACAGGAATTTGCGAGTGGAACCTTCCCTGGTTGAGCATTTCTGTAAGAATGCAGCCCAGCAGCCAGCACGATTCTAGCCTTATGAGACTCTAAACAAAAAATACAGTTCATCTGTGTGCATGCTTCTGAGCCACACATACTATGAGATAAGCTTTTTATATTGTCGTCCGCATATTTTGTGCTTGAAAGTTATATGGCTGTATTAGTTACTTCTCTCATTGCTAAGACAAAATACACAACACCCAAATTTAAAGAATGAAAGAGTGATATTGTCTCATAGTTCATAAAGGTTTATAAAGTCTCATAGTTCATAAGGTCCATAGTTGACTGTCTCTAAGGCAGGGTAGCATGGCAGAGGAGAAACAGTTCATACTAGGACAGGCAGGAGGTGATAAGCAGCAGCATACAGCCTCTCTTTCCCTTTTATTCAGTTCAGTCTACAAGCCTATTGATTGGTGTTACCTACACCCAGTGTGGAGCTCTTGTCTTTGCTAAAATCCATTCAGCCTCACCCAGAAGTATGCTAAATTAATCAGTGGGCTAATTTAGTATCACACACCAATAATCCATGTTTACATGCCAGAGATACAGCCACCTCCCCAAAGCCACACTTATGAGCATATGAGGTAGATACAAGCACATGTAGATACAAGCCATAGCAGAGACACATAAACCTGATGCATCTTTGATAAGCTGAATGCTTCTGACTTGTTTCCCTTCTTTAAATCTAACCCTCTAACAAACTTTCAATGCCTCTGTGGTTGCAGTTCCCAGTGGTTTAAAGTGGAACAGACCTTTTCTGTCATCTTATCCAACCTTGAAGGCATGGCGTTGACCCTAAGCGCTGCTCAACTCTTTATCATTTCATGTTGATCCTTCTTTATCATTTCATGTTGATCCCTCAAAGTAATAACAGTCTTAGCTGCTATTTCACTGAGGCACAGACAGAAAGGGAACCCGCGGTGTGCCACCTGACTTAGCAGACTATAAAGCGAATAATCAAAGGAACCAGAGTAAGTAATCAGTAAGTAAGCAATCAAAGGAAACATTTGTTGCCCTGCTTGTCTAACAATTTCCCAAAGTGTAGGTGAAAAGGTCTTATTCGCGCACCTTCCACTGGTTCCAATCAAGTCCTTAACAATGTGGGCACGAGTTAATGAATCACAGGCTTAATGGAACCACACAGGGTTGTGCCGGGTCACAGTGAGGTCAATCTCCTCTGCCCTAGCTGCTGTCCTCTATCCCCAACCATGTATGCCTTTCACAGTCTTCTCTTCTGAATTCTCTGTAATCAATCCCTAATGAGACCCCTTGACTTAACACTCTCACAAGGCATCATTAACCTTCACTAGGATAACAAGGAAGTTTTGTTTTCCCAGGTAATACTCTGGTGAGAAAGCAGAAACGGTAATAGTGATTCTAAGAAAGAAAAATAACAAGGTAGTCATTAACAGAAACCTATTCTGTTCAAACCTATTAGGAAGCTGGAGGGCAAAAAAGGCGATGGCGATCACAGTACAGGAAAGTGCAACAAGGGGGAAAGTCTTGTTAACGCAGACCTGCTTGTGCTGGTGGAAGCTGGCATGGCTGGGAAAACGATGGAAATTAGCAAGGGGAAATATTCAAGAACCAGAATACTGTATTAGGAAAGCTGAGACACAGTCCAGAGAAGGACTGCTGTAAAAATACACACAAGAGTTATCCAGCATTTTAAAAGGGAATCATTTGCAAAATATAGTTAAAATGAAAATCATCTTAGATAACATAAAACATGTGTTATTAGGACTATTATTTGCATTGTGTATATATATATATAACCTTATTTACTCTTTTGAAATCTATGAAATAAACATTATTACCACATATATATATATATATGAAACCCACAGAGAAATGTAATAACTTTTCCAAGATCACAGAGCTAATAAGTGAAAAAGGAAGCAAGTAATCCCAGCTTTCTAGCTAAACTGTTATCCATGATGTTTTACTGTCTCTCCAAGAAGTAAAGGAGAGGGGAAAGGTTCATGATGCTTCTCAGGCGTGTGTTATTGAATATAAATGTTGTATTCAAAAATGCCTTCCTGACAGGCACAGTAGCACATGCCTATAATCCCATCTACTCAGGAGACTGAGGCAGGAAGATTAAAAGTTCAAGGTCAAGTTGGGCAATATAGTAAAACCTTGTATCAGAAGAAAAATGTTTTTAGAAAGGCTCTTGTGGCAATTTAGCTCCACTGTATAGTACTAGGCTAGCAAGCATGAGTCCCTGTTCAATCCCCAGCACACGCGCGCACACACACACACACACACACACACACACACACAGCTAGGTATAATGATGCATATTAGAAATACTAGCATTGAAAGAAGCAGGAGATCATGAGTTTCAGCCAAACCCAAGCAATTTAAAGAGACCTTGTCTCAAAAACCAAGGGGAAGCCTGGCACGGTGGCGCACGCCTATAATCCTAGCACTTGGGAGGCTGAGGCAGGAGGATTTTTACAAGTTGGAAGCCAGTCTGGGCTACAAAGTGACCTCAAGACCAGCCTGAACTGCATAGTGAGACCCTGTCTCTAAAAAGACCAAAAAATAAACCAAAAACCAAGGGGAATGGGGCTGGGAACATAGCTCAGCAGTAGAAAACTCTGAAAATGAACCCCAGCACTAAAAAGCAGAGGGGCTGAAGACATAGTTCAGCACTCCATGGCTTCAGCCCATTGTGGGGAGTGGGGGGAAATATTTCTTGTCTCTGATTTTATTTTCTCTATGATTTCACATGTAATGCAGGCCAAGTACGCATTTCATTCCTGCTTTATGAATAGAAAAGGACTGGGGAAATTACATAATTATTTACTGAAGAGTCATAACTGAAGTCATTCTCTTCTTGTCCTATACAATACCTTTTGCCTTGCCAAGTTTTCTACTAAAATTTGAAAAGCATTCTTCATCCTAATTGCATTAACTTTACTTTAAAAACATATCACTAATTCACTAACTTTACTTTAAAAACATTATCACTAATTCACTTTTTTTTGTTTTGTTTTTTGTTTTTTTGTTTTGTTTTGTTTTGTCTTTTTGAGAAAGGGTCTCGCTATGCAGTTCAGGCTGACCTTGAGCTCACTTTGTAACCCAGGCTGGCCTCAAACTCTCCACTATCCTCCTACCTCATCCTCCCACCTGCTGGGATTGCAGGCGTGTGCCACCGTGCCCAGCAGTTCTGAAACAAATAAATTGTAACAATCAACATCTTACTGGGATATTCTCTTACTCTCTGTTTTCTTTAAGTGAAAAGAAAATGTTTCTTTTCTCTGTTCTCACCTCAGTGTCATGCTGTGTGAGAATCTTTTAGAATGTGATCAATTCCAATCACTAGTCCCACCCAACAACTGCCTTTCGGAGTTAAAAGGCATCAAACATGGCGTTATCCCATTCTTATGAGATGGATTTTTTTTATTTTAAAAATTACAAAACTGACAAAACAACAGTGAAGACAAAACCCAAACAACACAAAAACAACCAAAATGATGCATGACCTCAAAACAAAGTGACAGGAATTAACACTGCTTGCTACATTCCATACCGTTATCTTCAACCAAGTTGCTCAGTCCACCAGACATAAGAATGGAAGATTGATCAATCAAAGACACTAACAAGTTAAAAAGCAACACTGGAAATGATGCAGAGCTTCACCATACAAGACGGTAGGAGTTCAACAATGGCTCTTATACTGCATACTGTTGTCTTCACATCAATCATTCTGATTATCAAATTCAAGTGTGCAAAATTGGTTAAGAAAAAAGAAAATTTTAAGCATTGACTGTTCCTTTCAATAAACCACAGACATAAGCAATACACCTATACGAGATGGGTATATCTTTTTAAACTAAATGTCTAATATCATATCAAATACTTTGCATTAAGTAAAAGATTACCTACTTGAGTATAAATCCTTCTTTCATTCCAATAAGTATGTTATAAGTATTATTTTTCTCTCACTGACCTTAGATTTCATTTTCTTGAGTGACAAAATTGTCTTTCTCCTTCCTTTATCTTTTCTTTATCTTAAGATTAGGGTCACATTTTGTCTTCCAGGGTGATCTCAAACTCCTGAGCTCAAGTGATCCTCCTGCCTCGGTCTCCCCTATACCTGGGATTATAGGTGCACATTATAGCACCTAGCTGCTGAGTAGCTGGATCTATTCTCATTCACAACACTTTTACCAGAAAAGATGAAGAAGGTGGAAGAAGAAGAAGGAAAAGGAGAAGAAGGAGAGGAGGAGGAAGAGGGGCAGGAAAGACAGGAAGACAGAGAGTGAAAAGAAAGGAGAGAAACAAGGACAAATGACAAAAACACAAAGAAAAAAATCTACAGATCTTGGAAGTCGGTTTTGAAGCATATGTCTGCATGTCTGGTTTTCCTGTTTCAGTGGGAATCGAAGTCAGAACAGAGGAGAGCATGGAGAGCACCTGGAAAGTCTAATTTTCAAATCTCCTCATCCCAAAGATGGGATGGCTTTCCAGTTCATTTGGCTGCTGCTCAGTTCTACCTCAGTGGTTAAGAATAAATGACCCAGAACCGGGAGAGTTGATTATCAACATAGTAAGGGGAGAGTTTCAAAGAGCAAGAAGGGGGAGTGTTAATCACATGCATAATGGGTGAAAGGAGATTGGCAGCGTGACTTTCAACCTTCAGCAGTCACCCTGGCGCCCTGTGATAAAGGACCAAGAAGCATTTGCTGCTTTCTGGTGAAGACAAGAATGTATCTGGTCATCACCAAGCTGCCTTTGACCCTCCTCAAAGCCAGGCTTCTCATCAATGATTAGAAAACCATTTAACTTAAAGGGCCAGTGTGTCTTCCTTGAATGTTTTCCTATTGGGAGCAGCCAAGGCAAGAACATTGAAAACATAGGAAGGGTTAACCTCAGAATGGAAAAGGGCAAAATGAAACAAATGCAGAGTCAATAAAAGCAGAAATAAAAATAGAGGAGGAAGCCAAGAGGAAATCTCAAAAACAAAAGTCAGAGGGAGTAAGAAGTGATAGAAAGAAAAACTGATTTATTGCTGAGAAAAATTTCCCTCTTTAAGAATTCTAGATCAAGAAGTGAAGCTGCCGCAGAGGATGGAGAAGAGGCAGCGGATACCCAGTGCGTGATGCGGGAGCAGATGTTCAGCCCGATGGGAGTCCCTGCCCGGGTCCTGCCGGCCTCTGTTCTGGCCTGTTTCATCCAGGTGAGTTCAGCTGTGAAAGGGCGGGATGGAGAAGGCACTTTTTTCAGGTCCATCAGCTCTTAGAAGAATCTTGTAGAAAATGGATGAGGTGAAAAGAAAAATGCAGAATCTAGAAGGTTCTAGAGAAAGGAATAAGTGTTATGGTCTCTTAGTATTGTAAGGTTGCACAGATGCATGTGTGATTAATGTTAATGCTCACGAAAAGGGAGACAAAAATTACAAGCCAGGTGTGGTGATGAATGCCTGTAATCCCAGCGCTCTGGGAGGGTGAGGCAGGAAGATCACAAGTTGGAGCCCAGCCTGTACAATTTAGTGAGACCTTGTCTCAAAGTAAAAAGAAATAAAAAGGGCTTGGGGTGTAGCTCACTGTGAAGGTCCTGGGTTCATTCCCAAGTAACACACAGATGCACACACACAAACACACACACACATACACACACACAATCATATAGAGTCGTAGGATAGCTATAGCATTTTAGGAGTGACAATTATGTTTCTCTCATTTAGTATATTACCACTATCACTCAAAATCCCAAATAAATTATACTTGGGATAATTTGCACATAATTCCACTAAATGGAAATTCCTACACCAGCTCTAATATTATGGTAGCAGTTTAGGTGTCTCTATTCCAGAAATAAAAGAGGGAGCACTGCCCTGAAAAGTTTAAGCAAGAAGGAACACTAATTTGGTCCCAGCCTGGGCAAATTAGACCCTGCCTCAAATAAAAAATGGACTATGATGGTGATGTAGTTCAATGAAGCCCTAGGTGCAATTTCCAGTATGGGAGGTGGGCATGAGAGTAGGGGAGACTCTTTAAAAATATTTTGGATCCTTTATTTCTCCCCACTCTGAATCAGTAGGCTGTGGTAACGCATTAGTTGAAAAAGGTGTCATTAGACTGGAGGATTCTGGACAATCATCAGAATTAACCAGTATATAAATATGAAATCTAGCAAGAGAATGCAGCAAGTGCACAAACTGAATTACATCCCATGCCTGTTCAGAGCTGGCTGTTTTGCTTCCTAGATGCCAGTTAACCAATATCTGCAAGTCCTTGGTTTCCTTGCATTTTTTCTAGCTTCTGTGTCTCTTCCTGTTCCTTCTCTTCATTTCACTTCTCTTTTCTTCTCTCTGCAGCAAGCCTGAGAGGTGGCAAATTATCTACTAAGCACCTTAGATATCCTTTTACTTTAGTAAAGAAAGTGAAGCAAAGGGTCAGGGTTGGGCTGAGGAAACAAACACTTGGGCATTTCTCTTGGCAATCCCTTAAGTGAAAATAAAAACAATGGGCAGGAGTTTCTCCAGGGTTACCGCAGAGGGTGGCTCCTAGTCCTTTTACAAACTCTTTCTACCTGATATACTTCGAATACACAGGTCCTTGTACCCATCCACTTCCTATCATAAAATAGGTACAAATGTCTGTCCTATCATAAGGGTCCTGTTGTTGCCTTTCTGAAATTACTAGGTCATTTGAATTTTTGGAAGACTAAAACAGTTTCTGGAAATAAAGTTTGATTCTAAAGGGATCTTTCGAGAAGGAAGTCGTCTGAGATATAAGACAGATGGGGAGAAAGAGTTTTTGATTTTGCTTTGTTGCTCTTGTTTAAGAGGAATAGAAAGGAATGGGGACACCACCAAGGAGCTGTACGACTAAACTTGTCATCAGCATTCATTCAACACATAACCATGATGACAGAGTCAGATTTGAATTCTGCCTACATCAGTGAGTGTATGTTATTGGGTACATTACTTAGCCCTATGCCTTATTCCTTTTACCCTTCAATCTGAGGTTAAAGATACTCACCTATGGGATTGTTGTAAAGAAATGTTATACAATATTAGAAATTAATGGTCTGATTAGCATGTATAAGTCATTCAGCAAGCCCCCCTCCCCTTTTTGTCTTATATGGTAAGACTTGGTGTATCAAGGACATGAAAAAGGACAAGGTGGAAAAATCCAGTTCACAACTGGGCAATAATGAGGACCAGCTAGACACTCTAAAGGACAGATCAGGAAGTTTCTGGGGTAAATAAATGGATATAAATGGCTGCCTTTCATTCCCAGGCAGTAAGACTCATCCACTATTAAAAACAAACAGACAAACGAACACAAACAGGCGAGATAAGTCTCTCCCAAGTTCTCCCACCTCAAATCAGCAGGCATAGGAGTGAGAAGAGCTGCAAGTCCCAGTCCTAGGTATGGCCTGACCTTACAAACATGCCCTCATCCAACCACAGCCATGAGCTATGATTGTTAGTCTGCCCACCATCGTGGGCGAGATTACCCTGTCTGAGACTATTTCCCTTCCTACAGCTTCCTGGAGCACGCAGTGAGGAGAATTGTGTCAATCCTGAAAAGTAAGTATCTAAGAGTTTGAGCTGAAAGGAAAAGCAGACAGAACATCACTATCCAAACCCAGGTCAAAAAGTCATTAGATCACTATCACTTCCCTTTCTTTCTACTTAAGTGGGCATCCACCTACTATCACAGACATATACGTGTCATTCTGTGCACTCAGAATAATACTGCTGACAGGGTATTTTCCAAAGCCAATCTTCCCATCAAAGCAGCGTAATTCGTCTCCATTTATAAAGTCATAGAGACTTGCAAAAGGCTTTCCCAGCCATGCTGCTTGGTGATTCATCAGGCCAGACAGGATTCATTATCTAGTCACTGGCTTATTTACTTGGGTGATTTCCAAAGTGGAATCCCTATTTCAAATCAAAAAAAGCAGTTTCCAGCTCTTACGCAGTTAATGTTTATTGCAGAATTCATTTATCCGTCACTTTGATTGAGTTATTCTATAAACTGAGGCTGTCACAACTGAGTCCCACGCAGACACAGAGAATATAAAGATGAATATTTATGCAGGAGGCCCTGGGTTTAATCCCCAGTATTGAAAGAAAAACAAAGGAGGAAGGAAGGAAGGAGAGGAGTGAGTGAAAGAAAGAAGGATGAAAGGAAAGAAGGAAGGAAGGAAGAAAAAGCAAAAGAAAAGAGAAAAAAAGATTTGCTCAGGCTGAAGGAAATCACATATTTAACCATGGAAATGGTGATAACATTGATGATTTATCACATGCACATTACACCTTGGCTACTTGACATGGTCTGAGGTTTTAGACATCCAGCACTGCAGGAAAGACCTTCCCTACAGAATCAGACTCTAGTGTAAAGCTACAAGGGTTTTGAACATGTGATGAATGCAAAAAAACCCACAAGTATAGAGGCTCAGTGAAAAAAACTAAATGCTTCTATCTACAAATGTGTGGCCAACGAGGGATATAGAAATAGATTTCAGTGGATGGTTGTATCATGAAGTATTATGAAAGAACAGAAGTTACTAATCTACAAAGACATAAAAATACTCTGCTTTTCCTCTCTTATTCCTATGCTGCTCCTCCCACGCAAAGCGCATTTTCCTCACCCCTACAGAGAAAGTTTACAATTGCCACAGTTAATTCAGAATATTTAGTTCACTTTCCTCATAGCGAAACTTTTTCCCCTTCCTGTTTGGCCTCAGTGCATATGGGCATGAGGGATGTGACAGTTTAGATCCCTTTTCCCTGATGGTAAGGGTGTTGCAAGAGCTTGTGAAACATAAACTTAATTGCTTTCATGCTTTTAACTGAAATTTCCTTTATGTTTCCATTCTCTTGACCTCAAATATATAAGAACTGTAACATTCATACCAGTTTTCCAATTCACTCTTTATAAATATGTTCCAAATGACTTCTGGCAATTTCTTCATAATTATTTACAACAGTCATAGATCTATTTTCTATGAACACATTTTGTGATCACTATGATTAACTATTTTATACTGATTTTACAAAATACTTTGCACAACGTCATATATGGTATAAAATACTATTTACATCATTTGACACTAGAATTGGCTCATTACTGAGAACTTGAAAAAGTATAGCCTTAGTTGCTTTTATTGTAATGGTATCATTTTATACTATAACTCACATTTTCAGATGTTTAATGAAATACACTTTATTTTTCTCCATAGCTGCATGACCACTGACTGGGTACATCTGTGGTATATATGGTAAGTTTCAGTTGCAGTATCAACATATTTAATTTTACAAGGTCATTAATTATATGCACCATATATATATATATATATATAGAGAGAGAGAGACAGAGAGAGAGAGAGAGAGAGGGGGAGAGAAAGAGGGAGACAGGGAGAGAAGGAGGGAGTAAAAGGAGGGAGAGAGCAGGAAGAAAAAGTTTGAGACAGCCTCCTTACTTAGTACCTCCTGTACTACAGTTACTTTACCTAGCCTATTAGCCTATGAGATGATACGTCAGGGTATCCTATTTGAATACAGTCTCCTCCACTGAGATCAAAAGACTATTGTGTCCTTTTGGGTTCTGCTCAGGAAATAGCTCTACAAAGTTTGCCTTGGTAAAGTAAAATGCAGCTACTTCAAATTACCTTAAATTTACTTATGTGTTCTAACCAGTTTACTTAGTCCTGCTAACAAATAAGGAAGCATATATGTATATGAATTAGAATCTTACCATTTTTATGTAAAATGTCAACAAGAATCAAAAGGCAGACACTAAAAACTGATGCGGTCAGAGCCAGGTCTGAGTTTCCTACCTGCTGGGCTCTTACAGGTTACTGGTGGTAGTTGGTGTCCTGATTCTGCTCTGTGGCCTGACTTCAGTGTGCTTCCGCTGCTGTCTGATTCGTCAGCAAAATGGGGAAGATGACGGTCAGCCACCCTACGAAGTGACTGTCATTGCTTTTGACCATGACACCCTCCAGAACACTATCACTTGTGAGTACACTAACCTGATGTAGGGAAGAGACCTGGGTTTAAATGAAGGATTAGGACACCACACAGGTATAGAAACACTGATCAAATAACATTACAGGTTCTAGGATTCAGAGCAATGTTAATTTCCAGAGGACTAATGTGCTGATCTGGGAATCTCACTGGTGCTCAAATATTGGTCTGGCTGGTGATAGTGTGAAGAAAGAAGTGAAATATTAGAGACAGTGTTAGAAACATTTTACAGGGAGAATCACACAGTTTATAGATTTTGTTTTGTTTCTGTTTTTTATTAATAGTCCGTGTTTGCACTAAATAGTGTTTGCCTTCCCCGTGTGGAATTGGTCTGTGTACATAACACATCTTCATTCTTCTTCATCCCCTCCCCTCCTCTCCTTCCTCCCGCCCTTCATCTCTTGATCCCCTTCCCATGAGAGAAAGGTGTATCTCTCTACTCCCTATTATCATGATAATAAATAATTTTCATGAACTACATTAATGTGTAAGCTTATAAATAGCTTTATTATCCATTTTCAAATGCTGAATACATCTTTGAAAATGTCTTAAATTTTATGAAAACCTACATTTTGTATTTTCTATATTGTTTTGTATTGTTAAGGAAATTAGTGATGTAAACTTTCAATTCTGTGTTCTTCAAGTCTTGGTACATTCAATTTTTGCCCCAATATCCCTTTGATCTTTATTATAAGACACTTTATATTACTGTATAGTCATTCCTAAAATCAGGTCATAAATACAAGGCAAAGCAGCAGATAGCAAAACACTGCACTATTTATTTTGAAAATAGTACAATATGACATATTGTTATTCACCTTCCCTACTTCCCTTTTCCCACTTCATTTTAGAGAAAGAATAAAGCTCAGGGTGTGCAGTATTGGTAGGTGGAGTAAAGGCAGGAAGAGGAAGGGTAGGATGTGAGATATGGGAATATGACACAGATTATTCAAAGGTACCAGAGAAGACAAGTTCTTCTAGCAGAACCTGAAGCTCAGAAGCTTCAACTTCACAGGATTTTCATACATTTTGTGGTGGGGGGTGACAGTGAATTGGGACACTTATTAAAAACGTAGGGACCTTAGTGCAATGTTAAGCATCTGAGACCTGAAAACAACACATTTAAGGCAGCTCTGCTTCTTCTTCCTTTACAGCCCTGCAGTCAGTGTTTGGCTCTGCAGCTCGGAGAATTCTGGCTGTATCCCCCTCCCCCAGCTCCCGGGGCCAGCTGCCCTCCTCGTTGGACACCCTCCCAGGCTATGAGGAAGCTCTTCACATGAGTCGCTTCACAGTGGCGAGGTGTGGACAGAAAGCACCTGAGTTACCCCCGGTGCCTGAGGAAAGGCAGCTACCTCCGGTGGAGAAGGAATCCAGAGCAGAGCACCCCTCACTATGATGGGGATTTTGATTTGTATGTGGAGACCCAGGTTTCCTCAGAGTCCACAGAAGGTCTGTAGTCCAAGTCTTCATGCCTGACCACAAATCTTTTCTGATATGCAGTGGTCTCATCAGGTACTCTAATTCTTTAATCAATGGGCAAAATTCACTACCAACAAGGCAGGAGAGCATCAGGTGTCTTGAATTCCTTCAGTCGTTCAGTGTATATAAAATTCCTTCACCTCGTGATACTGACGGTTGGTTTTCTCTGTGCCAACTAAGAGACTGTGGCAAGCTTGAGGAACAGGAAATTGCAAGCACAGCCATTGTCATTAATGCACTGAACCCAGGAACTTCCCTCCTGGAAGAATAACCAATTTTACAATAGATGAAATGATTATTTTAAATGTCATGTAATACCCATGTAGTAATATAGAATACATGGCTGAGATTGTTGGAGTAGGATAAACGAATACAGTCTACTCTGTGTCAGATATCGAATTCTTTCTTTCACTACAGTTCTCCCCGCCAGAAATGTGATACTATTACTTCTTCAGTTCCTCTGCTCTACAAATACATAAGCACATGTTTGCAAGAATACATGCGTCCTTTTTAAATTCTAAAACAATACACTGCTTAGCTTCTTTCCTCCTTCCTGCTCCTGCCACTTAAAGCCACAGCATGTCCACAGCAACTCACACCAGTCTCACTGCCACCTTGTGGAGCCACGGTAGAAAATGCATTCTGTCCTTTGGACCCATCTGCCTGTCTTTCTGATTCTTGAGTACTAAGTGGGCAACTAAGCCTGGCTAAGATGCTACCCCTGCCACCATCCTGCTGAACACTGCTGAGCTAGCCACACAACACACTAGCCACTAAAGTACAGTTACTGGAAAACTGAGAAGAGGAAAAAAATACATGTCTTCGACAAGTTACTAAAATCTTTAAAGCATCGTTTTCTCACCTGTAGAATAAGGACGAAAGATACCTCCAAGATTTGCTGTGAGGAACAAAGAAACTAAGTTATGACATAATTTGTAAATCACTATGCACATGTACTTGCTACCATTCTTACTGTTGTCACGTAATATTCACCTGCCTGCTATCATTCTGTTAAGAATTACATTCTGGGGGCTGGGGATTTACGTCAGCAGCACAGAGCCTGCCTGGCAAGCGCAAGGTTGTGAGTTTGATTCCCAGTACCGGGGGGGGGGGGGGAGAATTACATTCTGGTTTGTCATTTTGCCAGTCTGCTGTGTTATTGTAAAGTCATACCTGACAAAGCTTTAATTTAGTAATAAACACTTATTGAGGTAAACAACTAAAAAAAATGAGATTCTTATTTTTTTAACTAATTATATTATTTTTTATTTTTTTAGTATTTTAAAGAGTAAAAGAAGGATAACATAGCAATGGGGGGCTTACCAAATTACAGACAAAGTAGTAGGAAATTATCAATGGTTGTTGTTTTACATATTGTTACCTACAAGATAGTTTCTCAGGAAAACAAATAGACAAATAATAGTGAGTTACAGACAAAAGAGGTAGGTAATTATCAATGGTTGTTGTACTATACCTTGGTATCTTCAAAGTGGTTTCTGAAGGAAATAAATAGAGCTATACAGGAGTGATCAATTGAATATTCACTGACTATTCTCAATGGTTGTTATAGGAAACACATAGTAATAAACATACCTCCATTTACAAAATAGCATAGGAACAATATAAACATTACAGAGTTATGGACAGATTAGTAGGAAGTATCAGTGGCTGCTGTAATACATGGTGGTATCTTCAAAGTGGTTTCTCAGGAAGACAGAGATATGCAAGAAAGATCTAACAAGTAGCTACAGCCGAAGGGTTGTGAAAAATAGTGTATTACCTCCTCACCAGTGACTCCTTTCACTGAAGTGTGACAGCTGGAAGGAAGGCCAGGATTGAAAAGAAGGACCAAGAGATTTGTACCTGTGTCTAGCAACAAGCTGTTTTCTTTTTTCTCTGTAATCATGATTACCTGGGGCTCCTCCATGGGGATGACAGTCTGGCCAGAGGGAGAAGGTAGAATATGCCCCAGGCCCCCTCATTCCTGTTAGACTACCTGGTAGTATGGGTCTGAGTTCTGGGGTCTCCGCTTCAGAGGACAGACTGATCTCCAGTGGTCATCTTTGCAGTCAGGGCATGGTCCAGGGGGCTTCTTAGGGCAGCTCCTCTTGAGGTGGCCTGGCTTTCAACAGTGGTAGCAGATGAATGTAGTCATTGAGTACTTCTTGGGGCCCCAAGAATCAGACTTAGGGTCTGTTTCTTTTAGTGCTGCAGCAAAAGCAGCTGCTTTTTCTCGGTCTCTTTGTTTTCTCTCCTTGGCCTTGTCATGGCTATAGAATACTGAGGAGGCAATTCTTACTAACATCTCAAGTGAGCCATCTGGGGTGAAAGCCATTCTTTGTAGCTTTTTCTCTTCAACCACCCAGCGCATTGGACCCTTCAACCACTTAGTGTCCTCTCCCCAACTGTCAGCACAGGCAGCAGGAATCTTGGTGCAGACCTCTCTGGAGCTCCATGTGCTCCTCCACTGCAGCCTGTACTGTCAGAGGAAGGCTTCCAGGGGGTCTCCCCAGGTATTGTGAAGGCTCTTCCTGGTTTCCAGCTTCTGAATGGCTCTCGTTACCCTGGTCAACTAGACCTCTGAGTCTTCGGGCGTAGCCTGTATTCTCATGTTCTCTGAGTTCTTGTTCCACGGCTGCTCCTCCTCTGACTCTGGCCCTTTCTGGTTCTCAACAGCAGGGGCAAGAGCAACCCATTGTGTGGCATGTATTCCTAGGGGTTTCTCCATGTCAGGATGATTCACGCATGTCCCCAGGTGGGCCTCTGCAGCCAGCAAGTGGTGGGCCAGTTGTGTCATTGCTTCTCTGTGCCATGATAGTTCTCAACCACACAGCGGTGGCTGGGGTGAGAGCTGGCTCACGCCAGTGCACACTGCTGCGCGACTTCCCAGACACCTACTGCCCGCCTCCCAGGTGCCTGCACAGCTAGGGGCTGTGTGATTCTTGTTAGTACATTCTGCATGGATGTAGAAAATATTTGAGAAAAGTAGTTGTTTTTTAAGCAATCAGCTCCAGTTTTCAGAGTAGGCAATACAGAAGTAGGGGTTAGTTAATTAAACACATTTTTTTATTTTAAAGGGTAAAAGAAGGACAACATAGCAATAGGGGGATTCACCAAATTACAGACAAAGTGGTAGGACATTATCAATGGTTGTTATTTTACCTATTGATATCTTCAAGATAGTTTCTCAGGAAAACAAATAGACAAATAATAGTGAGTTACAGACAAAAATGGCAGGCAATTATCAGTGGTTGTTGTACCATATCTTGGTTTCTCCAAAGTGGTCTCTAGGGAAAACAATAGAGCTATACATGAGGGATCAATCAAATAATCATTGACTATTCTCAATGATTGTTGCTGAAAACACATAGTAACAAACGTACATTCATTTACAAAATAGCATAGGAACAATACAAACATTACAGAGTTATGAACAGACTGGTAGGAAATCATCCATGGCTGCTGCAATACATGTTGGCATCCTCAAAGTGGTTTCTCAGGAAAACAAAGATATGCAAGAAAGATCCAACAGGTAGTTACAGCCTAAGGGTTGCAAAAAAGAGCGGATTACCTCCTCATCAGTGACTTTTTTCACTGAAGTGTGATGGCTGAAAGGAAGGCCAGGGCTAAAAAGAAGGACCAAGAGACCAGCACCAGTGTCCAGCAACAGGCCATCCACTTTCCTCTACAGTCATGATTTCACAGGACTCCTCCTTGGAGACAATGGTCCTTCTCCATGAAAGCGGTTCTACAGAATCTAAATATTGGGCACCCGTGTAATCCATGAAGTCTCGGTGCAGACCTCTCCAGAGCTCCACGAGCTCCTCCACGGCAGCCTGTACAGTTATCGGAAGAATGGCCTCCAAGGGGTCTCCCCAGGTATTGCACAAGATCTTCCTGTTTCCAGCTCCTGAATGGCTCTTGCGTCCCCAGTCAGCTCGATCTCTGTGTTGTCGAGCGTCAGTACTCTCATGTTCTCTGAGTCCTTGTTCATCAGCTGCTCCTCCGCTGACTCTGGACCTTTCTGGCTCTCAAGGGCAGGGCCAAGAGTGACCCACCGTGTGGCATGTTTTCCCAGAGATTTCTCCATGTCGAGACGGTTCACACACGTCTCTGGGCTGGCCTGTTGTGTTGGTGCTTCTCTGCGGCATAGTGGTTGTCAACCTCATGGGGGTGGCCAGCCCAGGGGCCAGCACAAGTCTCCACGTTGCTTCCCAGGCACCTGCTGCCTGCCTTCCTGGGTGCCTCCCTGGGTGGGCAACTGCACATAAACACATTTTTAAATAGCCCAGAGGAGATAATGTTCTGAGTGAGCATAATCTTATAATCTCACTTTCACCCCAGTTACTTAAAAACTGTTCAGATGCATGGATTGTTAATGACACCTAAGGTGCCTGCATTAGGGTTCACAAGAGGAACAGATTTAAAATAAAAATGCAGATGATTCTATAAAGGATTTAGGAGGTAGTCTCATAGGATCAGAAGCTGAGGAGTCCCAGTAGCCACCAGCACAATCAGGGATGGAAGAGGTTGAAATGGCCATTGGTGGTCTGGAGGACTGGAGCACTGGGTCCAAGGTTGAAGGCTTGTAGCTCACTGCAGTTTGGCATAAGCTGCCCTGGAAGCCTGAAGGAACTGAAGTAAATGTCCTGAGCCAATAGCAATGACAAGAGCTCCTCCTCCAAAGAAAACAGGAGAAACTTTTTCTCCTTTCTCTTTTATTCTGTCCAGACTACTAACCTATTTGTTGGTGCCACTCACAACTGGGTGGGTCTTTCCTCTCAGTGTGCAGCCTGTAAATAAATCATCTACAGACACAGTCAGACCTGTGCTGAGCTGCTAGGTATTACTTATTCAAGTGAGGTTGACATACCACAAGTAAGATCATAGTGGCCTTATTTTATTACCAGTGAATGAGTCATTTGGTCATGACACATTCCATAAAATATTCGAGGCATCCTTCAAGACACTACAGACTTTAAGAAGTTAAGATGCTGATGGGTATTTAAAGATCTTGGAAGAAATTTTGCCTGTAAGGTCTTATCTTTCTCTTGACCCTCGCCCCAACGCAACCCATTCGATGTGTGGAATTACTTCCATCCATCTTCTGTCACTCCTATTTCTCCATCCTCAAGTGTGTCTTTTCATAATCTGTTTCACACATAGGGTCTTATGACTACTTCTTAGCTACATGGAGTCATTTACTCCCTCAGCTCTATCATTTTTGTTATGAAATATTAGCATGCTTCTGATTTCACTTCTTTGTCTACTTGATCAAAGATGTCACCAAATCACCTGAATCATTTTCACTATTGCTCTCAAGTTTCTAACTTTTTAAAACTTTCCTCTGATCTATTTTTCAAACTTCCAACAATGTTTCACTGAAGTTGATTTCTCCCCAATGCCTACACTGCTGAACAGTGCTGGAGGAAATCTGTCAGTGATGCTAATTGAGGTTAGTCTAGAGTGACGGTCTCCAACACTCGACATTCCTCGCAGATTTCCTCCAGCATTTTCTGCATTCTTTTTAGTAGATATTCAGATTTCAATAGCTGTCTTCAATGCCTTCCAGTCTACCATCAGTGCATTAATCCTAGGCAGGGAACTTGTTCCAGTTCAGAGAAAGAATCAAAGCTTTCAGGTAACTTCCTACCCCAAGGATACAAATATCTCTGTAGATATATATTTATCCTTCCCTCCATCCTTTCAGGATCATTGAAATAAATGTACTTTCTCCTCCTCAGTAATCATACTTCTAGTAGTGTTTTGCATTGCATTAACTCAACAGAACTTTTTTATCAGCAATTATTATTTCATAAATAATGTACTAAGAATAGTGAAGAGGCAGCTGGGTAAACAAAATGTGCAAGGAAGATCTATTTGACTTTTGTTCCTCTCAGAGCTTACACTGTAAGTAGGTAAAATAATATTAAGGAAAAGTAAAAACAGAATGATAAAACTTCTAAGTACAAAGAACTAAATGCAGGCTGAAATAAGAAATAACAGGTAAGAAGGGATGGAGCATGGTTGGAAAGGTAGAGGGAAGGAAATCATTTTCAGATATTAGAAAATATTAGGTAAGATAGAATAACAGAAAGACTGGAGTAACTGCTTGTAGTAAGCCAAGGACATTGCTACAGAAAATAAAGTATAACCAGACATGGTGGTACACGCCTGTAATCTCAGCACTCGGGAGGCTGAGGCAGGAGGATCATTGTGAGTTTGAGAC